ATGAACGATGTATAAATAATGTGTTTGCGCTGGTGTTTAAGAACATTATAAGACCAGATAGCTCTGAGCAATGGTTAGATTGATTGAAGCTTGTTTCCACCACAGAATTTAACATTTTAAAAGATAATTGCGACTTTTTATCTCAGTTTAACTAGCAATTCTGACTTTTTGCTCGCAATTGTGGCTTAAATCAATTGTGGAAAATACGTGAAAAAATGTCTGAATTGCGAGTTAAAATGATATTTAAAAAAAGTCGCAAATGTGACATAAACGTGGCAGAGATATGCAGAAATGTATAACCATTATGAATAAAATTGATGACACTCCAGAAAGGGTTATGAACAGAAATCTGATAACCTCTGCTGGACTAAATGTAAGGGTTTGTAAGTTTGAGTTTAAGTGCCCTCAGAAGTGCACTGACCCTCATCATGAGGCCTCAGGCGGAGGCGTTCACATCTGAACACACACAAACACACAGCCTTTTGTGTTATAACATGCCTTAAACAGTGAACTGCACAAAACATGGCGGTGTAACCAGTAACTAGTTAAAAAAACTGTTCGCTTTTTTGTTCGCATCGCGTTCCAGTCTTTACAGACACTTTTCTGCCACAGAATAATATATTTTAAAAGAAAATGATAAATTTTTACCTCACAATTGCGAGTTTACATCACAAAATTTTGGGGGAAAAATCGCAATTACCTTTTTCAATTTTTATTCTGTGGTCGAAACAAGCTTCCAAAAGTCTTCGATTGTGTGGACACAGCAATTAGTTTAGTTTATTTTTTTAGTAGTTGTGAAATGTGAGTGAAAAATTACGCTAGTATCAGTGTTTTGTCAATGTGCGATCTTTGCAAGAAACCGCTAGTGTGCAGCGCGATGTTGCTATGGTTACCGCGACTTTCGCGCCAAATGAAACTGTCGCGGTCGCACTGAAACTTTTAGAAACGTGTAAAATCTCCCTTGTATGTCGAATTACACCACTTTAGATTAGTATGGTTACTTAAGATATTCTCAGTTCAAGACTTAACACGTTTCTTTTTGCATCCAGTTGTGAAATGTAAATATTTAGCGGCGATAGTCCAGTAGTTGCCGTTGGTTAAACACGGGCTGGTTAACTCTGGTTATACACGGCTCTGACACACTTGCACAGGTATTTACTGAGGACATAAAGGAGATGTTTGTGTGTAGAATTGAATGACTTTAGCACCCCCACCTCAGCTTTTGTTCTCGTGCTCCGGGGGGTCAGTAATGTAAATGATTCCTCCATCAACTCCGCCCTTCACATGAACTCTCTCTCTCTCTCTCTCTCTCTCTCTCTCTCTCTCTCTCTCTCTCTCTCTCTCTCTCTCTCTCTCTCTCTCTCTCTCCTCTGGAGTTCCTCGCCGTCACTCACAGACCCGTTATAACCGCGCACAGAGGCTTCATGATGGTTCTGCTGAGCAGTGTGGGGGTTCTGGTTCTGCTGGTGTCTGTCCAGTGTCTGACCCGGGATCAGCTCTTCGATTACGGGATCCGGTTCGGAGACCAGATTCTCGATTCTGGAACGGATTCGGTTCGAGAGCTCGAGCTGGAGCAGACGCTCTACTTCTTCAGAGGAAACTTCCGTAAAATATACGTGAGTAACTCAATCATGTTAAATGTAGAGTTAATACAATAGCACATACTAGTGTTCTCTCCTCTAATATTTCTAAACATAAGTAAATTATTTAAATTAAAGAAACTCTTAATTGTTGTTACTTAATTGCGTACAATTCGAAGAATCAATGAATGAAGTGAAATCGTACAAATTGTCTTTAAGATGAAAAGATATTTCTATACGGTCGATTTGAAACCAGTTTGATGATGATTTTCAGAGATTTAAAAAAGTTTTTTTTTTTATTTTTTTTTTACTTTTTCTAGTTTACAAAACCAGCATATTGAGGTTTCAGGCAAGGCAAGTTGATAAAGCACATTTCATACATTGTGGTCAATCAAACTGCTTTACACAGAAAGGAATTCATTAATTTCCTAATTAACATTAAAAGCAAGGACATTATTGATAAGATCACACACACTCTCTCTCTCTCTCTCTCCATCTCACACACACACACACACACACACACACTCTCACTCTCTCTCTCTCTCTCTCTCTCTAAATATTTACTCCAGGTGTCTGCTGTGATTTCCCTGTAATGTGTTCATCATCATCAGTCATGAGTGTTTATGTGTTTAACCCGATATAATCTGTGCCTGCTTTGAGATTCTGACGAAGCCTGTCCGTCCACTGATCTCCTCAACCCAGAGGACGGTGTGTGTGCGACGGTGTTACGGTGTGTGCGACGGTGTTACGGTGTGTGTGCGACGGTGTTACGGTGTGTGTGACGGTGTTACGGTGTGCGTGAGGGTGTTACGGTGTGTGTGCGGAGGTGTTACGGTGTGTGTGACGATGTTACGGTGTGTGTGCGGAGGTGTTACGGTGTGTTTGCGGCGGTGTTACGGTGTGTGTGACGATGTTACGGTGTGTGTGCGGAGGTGTTACGGTGTGTGTGACGGTGTTACGGTGTGTGTGCGACGGTGTTACGGTGTGTGTGACGGTGTGTTACGGTGTGTGTGACGGTGTTACGGTGTGTTTGCGGCGGTGTTACGGTGTGTGTGACGATGTTACGGTGTGTGTGCGGAGGTGTTACGGTGTGTTTGCGGCGGTGTTACGGTGTGTGGGGAGGTGTTACGGTGTGTGTGCGACGGTGTGTGTGAGGGTGTTACGGTGTGTGTGCGGAGGTGTTACGGTGTGTGTGACGATGTTACGGTGTGTGTGGAGGGTGTTACGGTGTGTGTGAGGGTGTTACGGTGTGTGTGACGGTGTTACGGTGTGTGTGACGATGTTACGGTGTGTGTGTGGAGGTGTTACGGTGTGTTTGCGGCGGTGTTACGGTGTGTGGGAAGGTGTTACGGTGTGTGTGAGGGTGTTACGGTGTGTGTGCGACGGTGTTACGGTGTGTGTGACGGTGTTACGGTGTGTGTGAGGGTGTTACGGTGTGTGTGCGGAGGTGTTACGGTGTGTGTGACGGTGTTACAGTGTGTGTGCGGCGGTGTTACGGTGTGTGGGCGGTGTTACGGTGTGTGTGAGGGTGTTACGGTGTGTGTGCGGCGGTGTTACGGTGTGTGGGGCGGTGTTACGGTGTGTGTGACGGTGTTACGGTGTGTGTGACGGTGTTACGGTGTGTGCGATGGTGTTTCTGGGCTCAGGAAGTGTTGGACACTGATAGAGATCTGCAAAGTCTCCAGCTTGTGATGATGAATCTGCTGGAGGAGTGTGTGCTGGTTCTCCAGCTGTCTGCGGCTCATCTCTCTGGAGGAGTGTGTGTGATATACTCCATACGGATGAACCCTCCCTGTGTGTGCGGTGGGAATCATGGGAAGGGTCGTCCCGTTGTTGTGCTGAAGAACGACTTCATGAGCAGAAATGAGGAACACTAGCTCTCAGAAACTGAAGATCTTGAGTGGGTCAGGTCTTCAGGACACAGACGCGCCTTTTTGTGTGTGTGTGTGTGTGTGTGTGTGTGTGTAGCCCGAGGCTGATCGGAGGGTTATAAGCTCTTCCTGCTGTCCTGCTGTTCTCCATTCACTTCCTATAGCGTTCACATTCCTGACGCAGATTCCCAACCGAGGCTGCCATGCTTCTCCTAATCCGGACCCTCGAGTTTATCAGGGATTACAAGTTTACATCGTCAGTTTGAGTGTGATTGTATATATCAGTGTGTGTGTGATTGTATATATCAGTGTGTGTGTGTGTGTGTGTGATTGTATCAGTGTGTGTGTGATTGTATATATCAGTGTGTGTGTGATTGTATATATCAGTGTGTGTGTGTGTGTGTGTGTGATTGTATCAGTGTGTGTGTGATTGTATATATCAGTGTGTGTGTGATTGTATCAGTGTGTGTGTGATTGTATATATCAGTGTGTGTGTGTGTGATTGTATCAGTGTGTGTGTGATTGTATATATCAGTGTGTGTGTGATTGTATCAGTGTGTGTGTGTGTGTGATTGTATATATCAGTGTGTGTGTGATTGTATATATCAGTGTGTGTGTGATTGTATATATCAGTGTGTGTGTGTGATTGTATCAGTGTGTGTGTGATTGTATATATCAGTGTGTGTGTGATTGTATCAGTGTGTGTGTGATTGTATATATCAGTGTGTGTGTGATTGTATATATCAGTGTGTGTGATTGTATATATCAGTGTGTGTGTGATTGTATATATCAGTGTGTGTGTGATTGTATATATCAGTGTGTGTGTGTGATTGTATATATCAGTGTGTGTGTGATTGTATATATCAGTGTGTGTGTGTGATTGTATCAGTGTGTGTGTGATTGTATATATCAGTGTGTGTGTGATTGTATCAGTGTGTGTGTGATTGTATATATCAGTGTGTGTGTGATTGTATATATTAGTGTGTGTGATTGTATATATCAGTGTGTGTGTGTGATTGTATATATCAGTGTGTGTGTGATTGTATATATCAGTGTGTGTGTGTGATTGTATATATCAGTGAGTGTGTGATTGTATATATCAGTGTGTGTGTGTGATTGTATATATCAGTGAGTGTGTGATTGTATATATCAGTGTGTGTGTGTGATTGTATATATCAGTGTGTGTGATTGTATATATCAGTGTGTGTGTGTGATTGTATATATCAGTGTGTGTGTGATTGTATCAGTGTGTGTGTGATTGTATATATCAGTGTGTGTGTGTGTGTGTGTGTGATTGTATCAGTGTGTGTGTGATTGTATATATCAGTGTGTGTGATTGTATATATCAGTGTGTGTGTGTGTGTGTGTGATTGTATCAGTGTGTGTGTGATTGTATATATCAGTGTGTGTGTGATTGTATCAGTGTGTGTGTGATTGTATATATCAGTGTGTGTGTGTGATTGTATCAGTGTGTGTGTGATTGTATATATCAGTGTGTGTGTGATTGTATCAGTGTGTGTGTGTGTGTGATTGTATATATCAGTGTGTGTGTGATTGTATATATCAGTGTGTGTGTGTGTGATTGTATATATCAGTGTGTGTGTGTGTGTGATTGTATCAGTGTGTGTGTGATTGTATATATCAGTGTGTGTGTGATTGTATCAGTGTGTGTGTGATTGTATATATCAGTGTGTGTGTGATTGTATATATCAGTGTGTGTGATTGTATATATCAGTGTGTGTGTGATTGTATATATCAGTGTGTGTGTGATTGTATCAGTGTGTGTGTGATTGTATATATCAGTGTGTGTGTGATTGTATATATCAGTGTGTGTGTGATTGTATATATCAGTGTGTGTGTGTGATTGTATATATCAGTGTGTGTGTGATTGTATATATCAGTGTGTGTGTGATTGTATATATCAGTGTGTGTGTGTGTGATTGTATATATCAGTGTGTGTGTGATTGTATATATCAGTGTGTGTGATTGTGAAGTTCACCGCTCGATGGGTTAACCCTGTGAAGCTGACACAGATAATAGTTTATTCGAGGTGCTTGAAAGGGTTGAATCTGACGTTTTGAAATGTAAAGTCAATCTTTTCACCCCAGTCTGATATAGACGTGTCTCTGTGAGTGTGATGTTGCTCATATAATTATGATAAAGCGATGTGTTTGTCGTAGTGTCCCTAACTGGAGGAGTGTGTGAAATATCATGTTGATCATATAGAGGTCTATAGGGTTCATCTCCGCTGTGTCTGTTTCTGGTTAGCAGGTGGAGGATGTGTGTCTCTCTCTCTCTCTCTCCCACACACACACACACACACACACACACACACTCCTGCAGTGTGAGGCAGCTGTACGGCCCTTCACGGCTCGTTCTGTGCTCAGGCGTCTTCTTCCATAAAGCCAAGAGTCCTTGTTCATTTCGAGCTGCGCTGAAGTTTAGAAGTGGATCTCATTTTTTTGACTGATCATCCACAGAAATATTCAATATTTCACTTCACGAAACCCAAGATAAGTGTGTGTTTAAGGTTGTGGCGTTTCTCCGGTGTGTTTCTGTCGACACAGCTCAGGCTGATCTGGGTTTCTCTCTTGTGTTCGAGGTCGAGATCAGGATCTGGATCTGAACTGTTGTTTGTTGAGTTTGAGATGTTGGAGCTTCTCCTCGCTCCCCTGCCGTTTCACTTCAAGAAACTCATTAAAGAGAAGCTCATACACACACACACACACACACACACACACTCTAAGGGGCACAGCAGCCTTTCATGTGCGACGCCGGCCCAGATCCCAGAACACTTCTCTGCTGGTTTATGAGGCGTCAGGTCCTGTGTGTGTGTGTGTGTGTGTGTGTGTGTGTGTATTCTGCTAGATATGCATGTTTTTAAGATTTTTAACCTTTTCACGTCTCCTCAAGCCACATGAGAAGAGGGATCAGTACTGATAGTCATCCTGTGAGGTGTGTCTGCCAGGATTATACTCTTGAATGAGAGCGTCTCTGTGACGGCCGGTGTCGTGGCCCGGCGCTGATGCTCTGCTCTCCGCAGGTCGGCACTAACGGCTTCGTGTCTCTGGCCGAGCCCGGCGATGAGTCCCAGTACCTGGGGAAGATGCCGGCCGGCTTCGGCATGATCGCAGCTTTCCTGGGAGATCTGGACACGAGCGGCGGCGCCGGACACGTCTACTTCCGGCAGGACGAGAGCCCGGGGGTCCTCCGGCGAGCCGCGGGTCACATCAGCCAAGCGTTCCCCAACGACGATGGGATCGACCCCACTCACGCCGTCATCGTGACCTGGGAGAATGTGCTGGCTCGGGGTCAGCGAGGGCGAGGAGATGGACTTGAGTCAATGGTACGTCCCTGAAATCTGAATGTTTCGCCGTTCCAAGCGTTAGTTAAGAAATCTTTGTTTATGCAGCACTGATAAAGGAGTCGTTCACTTCAGAATCAACATCTCCTGATAGCTCACTCTCATCCACGTCATCCGAGATGTTCATGTGTTTCTTTCTTCAGTGGAAAAGAAATGAAGGTTTTTAAGGGAACACACTCCAGGATTTCTCCATATAGTGTCTTTAATGGGGTCCAACGGGTCGAAGGTCAGATGCGAGTTTCAGCTTCAAAGTCTCGACACGATCCAGCCGAGGAATAAGAGTCTGATCTAGACAAACCATTTATATACTTTAACCACTAATGCTGGTCCTGCTCGAGCTGTGATGCGACACACATTACGAGATCAGGGTGAAAGGTCAAGCGGGACGTAGGCGTAAGAACAGATCTAGTGTTTACAGAGCAGACGTGCAAAGACTAAGACTAAATAAATAAAAGGTAAAACAACGATGTCGGATGATTTTGAATTTGTAGGAGAAAATGAGAGGGAGTTTATCGCTCTACATTTCTGAACCGGAACACACTTGACCTTTCACCCTGATCTCGTAACGTGTGTCGCATCACAGCTCGAGCAGGACCAGCATTAGAGGTTATAAAGTATATAAATGTGTATTTTGTTGTAAATGTCGTTGTAAAAGACTCTTATTCCTCGGCTGGATCGTGTCGAGACTTTGAAGCTCACATCTGACCTTCGACCTGTTGGACCCCATTGAAGACACTATATGGAGAAACCCTGGAGTGTGTTCCTCAAAAACTGAAGAAAGAAACACATGAACATCTCGGATGACGTGCGGCAAAGTAAATCATCAGGAAACTTTCTTTCTGACTAAACTTTTAATGTTGCAAAGTGAGTAATTTCATCTCTGCAGAAGACGGCCGTTGAACATGTTTAGCACGACAAACACCGCTGTCACACTTCCCCTGCAGAAAAACACGTTCCAGCTAGTCATAGCAAACATGGATTCGGCGTCGTACGCTGTGCTGCTGTACCCCGAGGAGGAGACCCGGTTCAGCTCTTCGCTCGTAGACGAGGAGGACGTGCGGGTGGAGGCCGGCTTCAGCGAGGGCTTGGTGTCGGGCTGGTTCGGCTGGGCCACGACGCAGGGCTCTTACTATCGCATCACTGACCACAGCGACGAGTCGGTCCGCGCCCTCGCTCAGTAAGACATTTCACACACACTTCTGTGGGTCTCTTAATCTCGTCACATGTGTGTGTGTGTTAGCAGCTTCGATTACACACACACACACTAAACATTTCAAAAGCGTTTATCCTTTTATGTTGAAAGCGAGTCAAAGATGAGCGACTCTAGAAGTGCCGACATGTAGAAGCAACAGGACATTTCTGAGTTTATGCAGCTGATGTGGAGTTAACCATCTTCTAGTCATTGATTAGCATATTCTGTCATGATCATCTATAAACCGTGTTCCGGGGGCGGAGCTTATGGAAATGTTAGTGTTTGTGATGTCACTAACCGTTGAAGAAGCTCATTGTAGTTCCTACCAGCCGTTTGTTGTAGTCCTTAAAAAGTGATTTCTCTCCCTTTGCTTTGAGTCGTAACTTTGCAGATGTTGTTTACGTTCAAACGTTACACACTCACTACAGCGACATTACACACTCACTACAGCGACATTACACACTCACTACAGCGACATTACACACTCACTACAGCGACATTACACACACACTACAGCGACATTACACACTCACTACAGCGACATTACACACACACTACAGCGACATTACACACACACTACAGCGACATTACACACTCACTACAGCGACATTACACACACACTACAGCGACATTACACACTCACTACAGCGACATTACACACTCACTACAGCGACATTACACACACACTACAGCGACATTACACACACACTACAGCGACATTACACACTCACTACAGCGACATTACACACACACTACAGCGACATTACACACTCACTACAGCGACATTACACACTCACTACAGCGACATTACACACACACTACAGCGACATTACACACTCACTACAGCGACATTACACACTCACTACAGCGACATTACACACACACTACAGCGACATTACACACACACTACAGCGACATTACACACTCACTACAGCGACATTACACACACACTACAGCGACATTACACACTCACTACAGCGACATTACACACTCACTACAGCGACATTACACACACACTACAGCGACATTACACACTCACTACAGCGACATTACACACACACTACAGCGACATTACACACTCACTACAGCGACATTACACACACACTACAGCGACATTACACACTCACTACAGCGACATTACACACACACTACAGCGACATTACACACTCACTACAGCGACATTACACACTCACTACAGCGACATTACACACACACTACAGCGACATTACACACTCACTACAGCGACATTACACACACACTACAGCGACATTACACACTCACTACAGCGACATTACACACTCACTACAGCGACATTACACACTCACTACAGCGACATTACACACACACTACAGCGACATTACACACTCACTACAGCGACATTACACACACACTACAGCGACATTACACACACACTACAGCGACATTACACACTCACTACAGCGACATTACACACTCACTACAGCGACATTACACACTCACTACAGCGACATTACACACTCACTACAGCGACATTACACACTCACTACAGCGACATTACACACTCACTACAGCGACATTACACACTCACTACAGCCAGACAAGTCACATCATAATCAACCACACCTTTATTGTTTGCAACTCCTCTCCAAACTCCTCAGAAAGACAAACTCGGGCCGGCCTGGCGTTTGGGTCTTCGAGATTGGTACGTCTCCGTTGTTCAGCTCCATCATGCCCGGCGAGGTCACAGAGGTCACGGAGGTCACAGAGGTCACAGAGCTGCCAGATGAACCGCTAACGCCCCGTCCGGATCCGATCTCCGAGTCCTCCACCCCTGACGAGCTCCAGTACCACTACGTTCCCCCGCAGAACCCGCAGAGCCGGCAGAACCCGCAGGTTGTGATCATCGATGAAGACGAGCTCAGCGTCGAAGGTCAGAGGACAGCTGTGGCCACACTGAGGAACTCTTGCGTTTCATACATGCATATTAATATATCTGTTTTCATTTCAGTGTTTTCCTATAACTACGAGACGTGCTCCAGCAACAAGCACAAGTGCTCCGCTTTCGCCGAGTGCCGAGATTACGCCGACGGATACTGCTGTCACTGCAAACCTGGTTACTATGGCAACGGCAAGGATTGCATCGCTGAAGGTGCGTTGAGACGAAGCGGCACCTTCCCGCCTCTCTCTCTCCAATCCAGCACTGAGTGAGTTAAACTGCAGTTCCTCCACTGGCCACTAGAGGCGCTGCAGAAGAGACTCACTCCCATAGACCCGCATGTTAAAATGGCAGAATAAACATGTTCACAGTCTGGAGCAGAAACTGGTTGTGGTCTATATCGCTAATGTTGCTCTTCATGACGACTGTGAGCGGGTGAATTCTTTTATAACTCATCCGTTTAAATTATATTAAGCCTTAAAGTTCTGCATAATTAAGGGCGTGGCCACTTGAGTGACAGGTGGATTGCCGCTGATGTCACTGCTAGCATTCGCCTGCTAACGTCAGCTAATCCGCCTCGCTGCACATTGTCGTTTATCCTGGAGTGACGCGCGGCCAAGAAGGCGACGGTAGGCTCCGCCCACTTTGGGCTTCAAAAACGCTCCTCAGAAACACTACGGGTGACGTAATGCTTTTACAGTCTATGATTGAAACGTTGGACATTATTTTTAAAAGGTTTTAGTTGATGATAATAACACTATTACACAGCTCTGTGGAATACTTGGTCAATGGTTGATTCAGATTGGTCAATGGCAGCATCTAGTGTGTATTATTCCCAGATAAGAACACAGAAACACTGAAGACATCAGCACTATACGCTCGCTAGGAATGTTTTTCTCTGTGGAAGTTTTGCGTTTGGTGAGCTAATAAAATATTAAAACTCAGTCGAATCAATACTTTGTGCACCGTTATTTAATTATGCCATCCAGTATCGTGGACTCGCTCTCTCTGGTTTCACACAAACACAGATGCTGCTATTCTGTGACTCTTGTTTACCTGTGTGTGTGTGTGTGTGTGTGTGTGAGATCTCAGAATAAACCTCTTCAGGCTGTTGGAAGTCCTGATCCTGATCACCCTGTCGGGTTTATTCTGAGATATACCATCACTCACTTATAAACTTCCGTTCTGTACATTAGCACCCATGAGTCCCTGAATGATGGCGCTGTCGTCCCAATCCACAGGGAAACCCCAGCGGATGAACGGGAAGCTGAACGGCAGGCTGTTCGTGGGCGATTCTCCGTCTCCGGTGGAGTTCTCCAACAGCGACCTGCACTCGTACGTGGTGGCGAACGACGGGCGGGCGTACATCGCGGTGAGCAGCGTGCCGGCTAGCGTGGGGCCGTCGCTGCAGTCGCTGCCGGCTCTGGGAGAGGCCATCGGGTGGGCCTTCGCGCTCCAGCAGCCGGGACACCACAACGGCTTCAGCCTCATCGGTACGCCGGCGCCAGAACACCTCCAGCGTTACACACACACACTGTCGTTATTGACTATATTATTATTGTTAATAAGTTAATAAAATGAACTGTAACATAAAATTTGACACAAAAGTAATTAACTAAATAATGATAAATATAACTATAATGATAAAAATAATAATAATAACTATACATATAACTAATGATAACTATAAAGATAACTATAATGATAAATATAAATACGCTCAGAGGTCAGAGGTCATTGACCCGTCTCCTTCTTCTCTCGTGTCCACAGGAGGAGTCTTCACTCGCCAGGCCGAGGTCACGTTCCTGCCCGGCAACGAGAAGCTGAGCATCACGCAGGAGTTCGGGGGCATCGATGAGCACGATCACCTGCTGGTCAACACACACCTGGACGGCCGGATCCCCGAGGTGCCGCCCGGAGCCACGGTCCAGGTCCCAGCGTACAGCGAGATCTTCCAGCACTCCAGCGACCGTGAGGGACACACACACATCACTTTAATGTTGATCTACACTGTTAGACCTTACCAGGTTTTTTACAGTAAATACTGGCAACACTGTTGCCAGTAATTTACTGTAAAAATGCACTAAAACTAATAAGTTGTATTTTTTAGTTAACTTGAGTTTTAGTGCATTTTTACAGTAAAATACAGTAATTTACTGTAAAAATGCACTAAAACTCAAGTAAGCGGCTGGTAAGGTCTAACAGTGTACTAGTGTGTGTAGGACACTACAGTTCCATACCTGTGTTTCTGTGTGTTCTCAGTGATCACGTCGTCGTCGCGGCGGGAATACAGCGTTAGCATGGCTGACGGCAGCGTGCGCGCACACAGCTACCTGTGGACCCAGAGCCTGCGCTTCCAGAGCTGTCCACAGGGGGCGCTCTTGCTCTCGGACCCCGAACGCCAGCAGCTCAGCGTCGACCAGGTCTTCGTCATGTACGACTCCAGCAACCAGCTGATCCGCTTCGCCATGAGCAACAAGATCGGCTCCGCCCACAGTGAGCACACCCACTATAATCATAATCATAATGCACTTTATATTTATGCAAAATCCCAAAGTGCTACAAGAGTGTTACTCTCTTACAGTAGATCATTGACAGCCTAGGGCTGAAACTCACTCAGTAGAGAAACAGTAATACAGTGTAAATCATCTGTTCTCTGTGAATATACAGTCAAGTGTCATTTATTCCTGAGTTTATCATCATTACTCCAGTCTTCAGTGTCACATGACCCTTCACAAATCACTCTAATATGAGGATCTGATGATCAACACACAGTTATGATTATTATCAGTGTTGAAAACTGATCATATTTTTTTAATTTAAAGCCTCTTTGATGAATATAAGTATTAATATCTTTGAAAAACATCTTTCTGAGCCCAGACGCGTGACCGCTAGTATATCGTCGATCGCAGCTGCTAGTGACGCTCGTGTGTGTGTGTGAGCTAACTCAGTCTCCCGCTGACGTTCATCACTGTGTGTGTTTGTGTGTTCTGTGAGCTTCATGTAAGCGGATACGAGTTAAAGCTCAAGAGCACCAACATCTGCCGGGACGTCCGTGACGAGTCGTGCTTCAGTGTCGTGGTTTAACCCAGATGTGCTTCAATTATATTTATAAAGTGCTTTTCACAACACACACACACACATTCAAAGCAGAAACAGAACATCCTGCGGTTAATGTTTAGAGTCTCTTAAAGTCCCTGTGGTGAAAATGGGGGCATGTAATTGACTGTTTTCATGAATAGATGAGTTTTATGAGTGATCTCTGATGTGGTGTAATGTGTCCATGATGGTGTGTGTGTTCTCAGGTGTAATCCCCGAGCAGAACCCGTGTTTCACCGGCAGACACGGCTGCGACACCAACGCCGTGTGCCGCCCGGCGCGAGGGAAAGACTTCTCCTGCCGCTGCGCCTCGGGATTCACCGGAGACGGGCGCGTGTGTGACGGTAAACCACTCAATCCCTCACTGATGAAGTCACCTTCATTCATACTGCGCTTTTTACAACACAGAGATAACAGGAAAATAGCACAGCAGAGTGTGTGTGTGTCCAGGAGAAATCAGCGCCACAGTCCAGCTTCATTTTTGTTGTAAAAAAGTTCATTAGTTCATTTATATATGAAGAGTTCAGATGCAAAAGCCTCTAAGTGCCATTTGAAATTTTCTTCTAAAATGACCATTTTTATCAAACTTGTATATTTAAGTTCAGTAATTTCACTTAAATGGCAATGAAGATTACCTATTAATTGTTATTTAAGTGAAATTACTGAACTTAAATATACAAGTTTGATAAAAATGGTCATTTTAGAAGAAAATTTCAAATGGCATTTAGAGGCTTTTACATCTGAACTCTTCAAATATAGCCACTCTGGAGATATACAGTATATACATATGAAGAGTTCAGATGCAAAAGCCTCTAAATGCCATTTGAAATTTTCTTCTAGAATGGTCATTTTTATCAAGCTTGTATATTTAAGTTCAGAAATTTCACTTAAATGGCAATGATAATTACCTATTAATTGTTATTTAAGTGAAATTACTGAAGAAAATTTCAAATGGCACTTAGAGGCTTTTGCATCTGAACTCTTCATATATATCCACTCTGGAGATATACAGTATATACATATACACAGTATATATATATATATATATATATTTATATAGATAGCCGCCGTATCGTGTTATATAGTTAAAAGCGCTGTATAAATGGAGACTCGACTCGTATGTTAGTGTTATTAACAGGCTCACACATCTGCGTTGAGTTACTGAGGAAGACTCGTTTCTCTCCGCACTCGTACATCAGCTGTTGAAGTCACATTACAGTTCAGTTCGACTTGAAAGAAGCTGCGGTTCGCAGACGAGACGAGGATCCAGTGCAAACACACAGCGGAAGAGACTGTTTAATTCATGCGAGGTGGCCTCAGGATTTACTGTAAAGAAAACACAAGATCTAAACCAGCACATATATCAGCGCTTACACACACAAACACTGTGATTTAGTGCTTCATCTCAAAGATCCCAACGCTTTCAACATCAACATCCACTCAACATTTACTTTATTCATGAACAGCTGTCTTGAACATGTACAGTTGGGTCATGGATCAAATATTTCGCTTGTATTTTAAATAAGCATGCTCGTGTGTGAGATGCACGCCGGAGACCCGGTTCGAGGCCCGCTTGGAGCGAGTCGAGTAGGACCCGGGTATGAGGGGTTACATATATATATGTGTGTGTGTGTGATTTTTTTTTTTTTCATTTCATTTTGTTGTTGCTCAGATGTGGACGAGTGTTTGCGGTGCTGATTGCAGTGTGTGTTGTGTGTTGTGTTGTTGTGTTGTTGCTCAGATGTGGACGAGTGTTCAGAAAGCGCTCAGATCTGCGGCTCCTTCAGCGTCTGCATCAACCAGCCGGGAACCTTTCGCTGCGAGTGTGTGAACGGCTTCCAGTTCTCCAGCGACGGGCGGACATGTGTCGGTGAGAAACACTCGAGTGTGTGTGTGTGTGTGTCTGAGTGTGTGTGTGTGTGATTCTCTGCTGTGTGTGCAGAAGTGGAGCGTCCCGTGGATCACTGTCAGAGAGGAACGCACGACTGCGATGTTCCCGAACGCTCCCGATGCAGATTCACCGGAGACTCGTCTTACGTCTGCTCCTGTCTGCCGGGCTTCACTGGAGACGGACGCGTGTGTCACGGTAACACACACACACACACACACACACACACACACACACACACACACACACAAGAATTGTTCCTGTGAAACCGCTGATTTCGATGACACGAACACTGAACTTCTGACACTTTCGCTCTTTTTCCAGTCGGTCATTATTTAACAAGATTTTTACAGATATTTTGTACTCAAAATTTCTCCCTGATGAAATATGTTAAAGTTCAGCACAACTAGAAAAATGTTTCTTCATCCTAGTCAACTATTCTTCTTCTTCTTCTTCTTAATAATTCATTTCCATATCATTTCCATGGCTTTCCCAGGTGTATAAATCATACTTTTACAAATATATCCAGGTTTTCCAGTAATGTGTGAATCCTGGTTCAGTAACACGAGACTCACAGCAGTGACAGGAAGTGATGTCACCTGACAGGAAGTGCATTCATCACTCCATGTGTGTCTGACACAGGCCAGATGTGCATTCCTTCATATAGAGTCCAGACACACACACACACACACACACACACATCTGTACATCGCTCTCTCTCTCTCTCTCTCTGTAGATGTGGACGAGTGCCAGCCGGGCCGTTGCCACGGCGATGCCATCTGCTTCAACACCCCCGGCTCGTTCACCTGCCAGTGTCGGCCCGGTTTCCATGGCGACGGCTTCAGATGCACACCTGGCTCCGGTAGGAGGAGTCCAGTTTCAGATTTCAGTTTATCATCAACCGTAACAATGGTTATGTTCATTACTTTTGTAATAAAATTTATTAAAAAAATTATATATATATTTAAAATGAATATTAAAAATGATAAAATAATAAATAAAATAATACATAAATAATTAAAGTTAATAAAAAAAATAAACTTAACATATCTAAAGGTTTCATGTTTCTCTCTCATGGTTTTATATACTGTACAGATGATCACACTGAGACATATCGCTCTTATGATTATTAATAGATCATATCAGATTCATCTCACTAAATCATGTGCAGGTTATACATTTATGATTATTATCAGTGTTGGAAACAGTTGTAAACATTTTAATGTTCCTAAAATAGGCTTTATTTTCTTTATGCGACAAACATTAAGAGATGACAGATCGAGGCCAGAGACTGACCTGGGATCAGGTTTAGCTCAGTTTCCCCAGTTCTGCTCATCTTCTCATCACTGGGGGCAGATGTGTGTGTGTGTGTGTGTGTGTGTGACGCCTGATAATTACAGCGTCTGGTCCTCGAGCGTCCTCCTGTCGTCACATGACCCCTCCTCCTTATCTCTATCCTTATTTATTTCGACTTTCTTTCCTCTAAATTTAACAAATCTTTTCTCAGAACAACAACTTTATTCTCGAGATGTAATGTTTATTTTCAACATTTTATTTAGACTTTTTTCTATAAATATCTGGATGACTTTTTCATCCAGATAACAACTTTATTCTCGAAATTTAATGAGTTTATTCTCAAAACAAAGACTTTATTATTTTTTTGTATTATTGCTTAGCCTTAACCCTCTTGCGTATGCATCAGATACATTTTTTTAATTAAAATAAATATTAAAATTATAAATTAATTAAAAAATAATAAATACAAAATAATTAATAAACAAAATGAATGAATCATTCACTATAAGACCAGAAACATATATTAAGAGTTTCAGTCTGCCTTTAAAGCAACAGCAAATGAAACCGCTTACTGTGGAGCCACATGTGTTGTGTGTGTGTGTGTGTGTGTGTGTGTGTGTGTGTGTTTACGCCGATCACACAGATCATCAGGACCAGATGTCCTGGATCCACTTCCTGAAGGCCCCGGGCCCCTAAACCCAGACAGTCTCGCACAGAGCAGTGTGTCACATGATCACAGAGCAGTGTGTGTGTGTGTGTGTTGCAGACAGCGAGCCGACGGTGTGTGAGCGGCACCGAGCAGCAGTGCTGGGGTCGGGTCCGTCGGGTCAGTACGTGCCCTCCTGCGACGGGTCCGGGGCCTACGACCCGCTCCAGTGCCACGCCGGCCTCGGCCAGTGCTGGTGTGTGGACCCGGACGGGCAGGAGATCCGCGGATCCAGAACACAAGCGGACCACACACCCCTGTGTAAGAGCCCACAACACACACACACACACACAACCAATCAACTTTATCCCTGATACTGAAGCTTGTACTGTAAACCCCACAGACTGTAGATATATCTGTGTGTGTGTGTGTGTGAGAGTCTCTTCTGCAGCGCCTCTAGTGGCCAGCGGAGGAGCTGCAGTGTAACTCACCCAGTGCCGGATTGGAGAGAGAGAGGCGCCGCTTGTTAAAGACCCATGTATTTAAGCCCCTCCCTCTTCCCATAGGCATTGAACACAATGTGGCTCCGCCCCTCATTGGCCCCACCCCNAATATCAGATCAATATCAGATCAGGATCATAACTCATAACTCTCAAATCTGATATTAAACGATCCGATCCCGTCAGATCATACAGTATTATTCATCATAAAACACATCGTTAGTCCATTACATATTATTAACAGGAGCAACTTTAGGTTTTAATTACGCATTAGTAATGTTAATCAACAGGAACTGAGATTAATAAATGCTGGACGAGTGTGTGTTCACTTGTGTGTTCAGGTGAAATAGTAAATATGTATAATATTAACACTCAGTTATTATAACAAGAATATTATTGTTGTTGGTATTATTATTAGTATTATAATGCTGATATTTACATTACAAGTGTTTAATTTAACTGTAAACTTTACATTTAAACACACGATCCTGACATACTAAAAGCACAATTTGAAAACACAGTTATGCCACTAAATATAGTTTTATTGTAGTTTTTCTCCCGGGATGCTGGGATACATTTATACTGTGAGGAGAGGTGCATTCTGGGATGGATATTATATGCAATCACTGATTAGCTGAAATATTATTTACAATTGTATTTTAATCTTGATGATTTTGAAAAGTTTTTCCTTTTGTTTACTGTAAATATGCAGCGGTCACGTGTCGGTGCCGATCATGTGACACACTGGTGTTTACACACCGCACTGCATGATGGGAAGGACAGGCGAGTGTCCATTAAAACTGTTTTTCTAAAGGTTTAGTGTTTTATTCCACTTCATATCAGCACATGATGATGATGATGATTACAGTAAAGATTCAGAAATGAAGTTTATTTACCATTATATGATAAATCATACGTACGTATGCTGTGTGTGATTTATTTATTCGCTTTTTGAGCATGGACCTGAAAATGACGTTTCCAACTTAAATTGTGGTCAATCTTGGACTCTTTTTAATGTGTAAAAGTGAACAAGAAAAGTTACATTTATGAAAAATGTCGAAAATATACAATTTATTTATTTTTTTAAATATTTTCCAAATCACGTTACTCTAAAGCTGCAAGAAAATCAAAGCCATGGATCTGCGTTTGTTTGTGTTTGTGTGTGTGTGTGTGTGTGTGTGTGTGTGTGTGTGTGCGGCTGCAGTTCCGGCCGCGTCCACTAGAGGACACTCTTCCGCTTTCCAGTTTTTTTCTTCTACTGTCTATGGGTTTTTCACTGTGTTTTCCCGGGATGGTCATTAACCCATAGATATAACCCATAGATATGATTGAACCTGTTCCAATCATTCTTTTACCAGAGAATGTCTAATTGATTAGACGGGCTCTGCTTTTACTGTCTATAGCGTTTTCCCGGGATTATTGAACCTGTTCCAGTCAGGTCCGTGTTCCCGCGTCACACCGCCGCCACTGCCAAACACTGGGAAGTTCTGAGGTAAGTGTCTGACACCACAGTAAAGCATTTAAATATTTCTCTTATATTATATTTTCAAAGGCCTTGCTGAACAAAATGATGTAATTTGATACAACAATAAAAAAATCAATACGGTTAAAATCGTTTTCTAAAAAACATGCTCGAGTCCATCAAACGGTAGGTTTGCCATTTATTGTAAAAGTAGCTAAAGCTAAAATCGACTATTTGCTATTAAATAAAAAAAACAGTTGATCATTCAATGTTATTCATATAACATTTAATGTCGTTATGTTCTAGTGTGTGTGTGTGAGTGAGTGAGAGAGAGAGAGAGAGAGAGTGTGTGTGAGTGAGAGAGTGAAAAAACATACATATAAACTTTTATGATAGATGTGATTTATTGTGATTAATTGATTTGATATACATATACAATGTATATAGGCTATATATATATATATATATAATATATATATAAATGTGTGTATGTGTTATTGTTAGCTGAATTGCACTGTATTACTGTTTTTTAAAAGATTTAAAACATTTTTACAGTAGAGAACGTGTTGTAATGACAGCCATACGCGACAAGTGCATCTGTGATCGCTGATCGACCCGTGTGACTCGCGACCCGTGGACTGAATTAGAGCTGATGAACCTGCTGACCTCTGACCCCTGACCCCTGAGAGCATCCGTGTGGAAAGACCCAGTAACTCAGACATGTTCATGCACGCTTCATCTTCACCACGTGTGCTGGATGTTTCCCAACATGTTCACTTGCAGCTGAAGCTGTACGCAGGTCGAGCTGTGTGTGTGTGTGTGTGTGTGTGTGTGTGTGTGTGTGTGTCGTCCACTGCAGTGCAGACGCCGGGGAAACACACACGCTAATGTTAGCTGGAGATCGGCCCTCAGTGCTGCGGAAATAGAAGAGAGACGCAAATAGAGAAGAGCCTCCTAGAAATGAGACGCGCAGAGAGATGGAAACTTGGAAACGCTTGCAGAGAAACACTGGCGGAGAGACGGCCACGGGATGGGAGTGAGTGTGTGTGTGTGTGTGTGTGTCAGAGAGACAGAGAATGTGTGTGTGTGTGTGTGTGAGAGAGAGTGTGTGTGAGAGAGAGAGAGAGAGAGAGAGAGTGAGTGTGTGTGTGTGTGAGAGAGATAGAAAGAGTGTGGTGTGTGTGTGTGTGTGAGAGAGAGAGAGAGAGAGAGAGAGAGAGTGTGTGTGTGTGTGTGTGAGAGTGTGTTATTATTTTTATGTAAAATTTAAATACAGGACCTGGCCAATTAATCAAAATAGAAGTGTTTAGTAATTTAATGAGCTCGTTCTGTGTTCATCTATAACTATTTTTAGTCTTGATTGAAAGATCTCTCTTTGCTTGTGTGCTGCATGCCCATTGGCTGTTGGCTGTGATGATGTCATTTCCTGTGGCATGATCAATGTCATGTGCTGGTGTGTTCTGTGAGAAGGGCGACAGCTGTGATTGACAGCATCTCCATGGCAACGGTTCGTAAATAAGATTCTCCAGCCCGTCCGCATTTAAAGAGGATATTTATTTTCTGCTCTTATTAAGATCGAGGAACTGAGTGACAGCTGTGTGTTTATGAGGCACACACACACACACACACACACACACACACGCACTCACACACACACACACACACACACACACACACACACACACACACACACACACACACACACACACACGCACTCACACACACAGTTATTTTGTGTTATTCTTTGTTTCACTGCAGTCAGTGTTCCAGGAACACACTCGCACTCGCACTCATACACAGTTATTTAATTATGCCGTCCGGTATCATGGACTCGCTCTCACACACACGCTGTTGCCGCCATTTTCCAACTATTGTTTTGTACAAATCTCCATTATTATCTGTTGCTAAAGCTGTAATAAGTGTTGTGACTGTGTACTCTTACATGTCCGTCTATTTGAACTCGCTGCTTTATGTGCCAGTGGCCGTATAATAAACAGATACTGTAGATCCAGCCAGTTGTTATCTCAGAATAAACCCCTTCCGGTGTGTGTGTGTGTGTGTGTGTGAGATCAGATCTCAGATTAAACCCCTTCAGGCTGATGGAAATCCTGATCACCCTGTCAGGTTTATTCAGAGATACACACACACACACACACCTGTAGGGGTTTAATCTGAGTTAGCCGTCTGGATCTACACTGTACAGTATCCCTACCTGAACTACAGTCTCTACATCGGCTCTCGGTCAACATGTCAAACTACCCATCAGACACTGCAGGGGATCAGCGGACTCGTGTGTGTGTGTGTGTGTGTGTGTGTGTTATATTTAGCTGTAGCTCTGATATCTGCTGTCTCTCCTCCCACTGCACCCCCCACCCCCCCCCTCTCTCTCTCTCTCTGTCATTCACAGTCTGACTGAGTCACAGCAGAAACACACCGGAGGAGAAGAGACGCGCTGAGAGACCAGACGTGTTGAGGTGAGACGCTTCACAAACGAACATGCTGCCGTGTTATCACTGTGTGTGTGTGTGTGTGTGTGTGAGTGAGAGAGAGAGTGTCAGAGAGCGTCTCTCTCTCTCTGTGTGTTTTGCAGCCGTCATTGATCACGAAGGACAGATTTTAGCTGATGATTCTTCTGATGTTTCTGCTGTGAGACTGTGATCAGAATCAGCTGGAAATATAAACACATGTGCAAGAATATTGTACATTGCATATACGATATATATATATAACTCTGATATCTAGATATATTTACTGGAGAAGCAAAGTGACTCAATGTACGGTGGAGTCAGACAAATAATCCTGTTCCTTTTAAATCAAATGTATTTTTCTGACCCCATTGACAGATATTTGTTCTTGTTTTAAAGTCAATACATTTTGAGACATTTTGAGAAAAAAAGTTTGAGAAATCAGTGAACAAGACCTAATATCTGGGGTCATATTGCATCTGATATTAATGTATCTTGATTTAAGAATTGTATATATTTTGTAGAAAATTACAAGAATGCTGAGTAAGGAAAATGCTTTGCAGTGTGAGCAATGACCAATGTTGTGTTTAAGACATGATGTGCACAGTTATTCCCGCACTGTTATTCCCTTATTCCTGCAGTTATTCCCTTATTCCTGCAGTTATTCCCTTATTCCTGCAGTTATTCCCTTATTCCTGCAGTTATTCCCTTATTCCCGCAGTTATTCCCTTATTCCCGCACTATGATTCCCGCACTGCTATTCCATTATTCCTGCAGTTATTTCCTCATTCCCGCACTGTGACTCCCGCACAGTTATTCCCTTATTCCTGCAGTTATTCCCTCATTCCCACACTGTTATTCCCTTATTCCTGCAGTTATTCCCTTATTCCCACACTGTTATTCCCTTATTCCTGCAGTTATTCCCTCATTCCCACACTGTTATTCCCTTATTCCTGCAGTTATTCCCTTATTCCCACACTGTTATTTCCCTTATTCCTGCAGTTATTCCCTCATTCCCACACTGTTATTCCCTTATTCCTGCAGTTATTCCCTCATTCCCACACTGTTATTCCCTTATTCCTGCAGTTATTCCCTATTCCCACACTGTTATTCCCTTATTCCTGCAGTTATTCCCTTATTCCCACACTGTTATTCCCTTATTCCTGCAGTTATTCCCTCATTCCCACACTGTTATTCCCTTATTCCTGCAGTTATTCCCTTA